GTAGGGAAATCTCAATACTTTCTCTTGACACGCCCCAGCAAGGCAATGATGGATTCCCACCTGCGTACACTATTGGAATGAAGGAAGTGGCAGTGTCAAATGACACGCAGTGTTCCCGAAATTCTTCCTCCACTACGACCTTCTTCCCTATCCCATCTATCACCCTTGTCAAATTCTCCCATTTGGTTAACGTTTTTCCCATTCTTTCCACTTTGCCTAAAAAACTGCTGTCGAGGGGTAGGGGATCATGGGATGAGAGCTCGTCATCAAGCTACTAATTTCAACTAACGAGAATAGAAGGTGTATAGGACCTTGACGACGCCGCCATTTAAGGGGGTGGGGGATGAGTAGGGCGTATGGAACGATGGCTGCGGAAAGTCAACAACCAAGGAGAATTTCTTTTGCGGGTCGGGGAACAGTCTGGTAGACCAGCTATGACCCCCATAGACCAAATGCGTCCTCCCCCAGCGAGCAAATACGACTCCTGATGGGATCCCTTCAAAGGTGCTGTATTCTGGTTCCTCTAGAGCCAGTACTCAGTGATTTGGTAGAGTCCTGCTCGTTGAAGCCGTCTGAGAGAATTCCAGCGCTGCACGAAATGCAGTCTTGCTCGCCGAGGCTGCCAATGGCGCGCCTCCAGCCCGTTCTCCTCAATTGTCGAAGCAAGCAATCAACAACATTAGTGGAAAACTACTGATACGAGCTATGTGATACAGTCTTGACGCTTGCCAAATAAATGAAAAGACAACTTACGGGCAAACCTTTCCCCCTTGACACTTCCCATCGTCCACAGCGAACAAGGCTGTGAACTACTCCTGTACTTCTCAGAACTCCATCTTCTAAAGGAATAACATTTGAGGGAGGGGTACTGTTCAAGTTGATTCTCAGCTGGGGAATCAGGGAAGTGTTCATGTTTGAAAAGATTTCTGACTTATTCACTTTGGTGTTCTGCAATGCCTCTGGTGTTTCATCCTGATTGTATATCTGAAGTAGCCCTCTGAAACAGGGAGTTCTGCCGTCAAGTCCCTGCCGTTCACGTCTGGGGAATTCACGAACCATATAGCTTCAACAAGTGAAGGGAGAGTGCAATTCTGCCCACGAAATTTACACTTTCCTGAAATGATGTGTTTTTTAAGGACAAAGTGTTGTACTATTCTCTATCTCGACGTGATCTCCCGTCTTTGTTTCGCTACCTCACTCAGAGTCTCTTACCGATGACCATCGGTGATGAGCTGGACTATCAGTCGCGGTAAAGGCGATTCACTTAGACGATATTTATTCGGTCGAGTATTTTACGCTTACCTTTAGCTCTACACAAGGTCGATTTTTACGCGGCCCTTCTGACCTCTCAACAGATGCACCATTGGTAGGGGATGATGCTCTTCCAACAGTTCATCTTTTCAATGCTGTCGACGATGAAGACAGCGAGGAACTCATAAAGTATAATATGGTATGCTTCCATATAGATTTCTCGAGGGGTAGCTATATCGCGTTAGGTATTTCAGATGGTTTACCGCTGTTTAAATGCTACAGTTTGCATGTTCACCAATCAAGAAGTTACCAGAATGTTGTTGAGGAATATTGACGGGTATTTGTCAAGCGAGTTGAGCAAGGTTGCTTCACAAATAGGAGATTGTGAGACAAGTTCATTTGTTTTGTTTGTTCTGTCTTTGTTTTCTCTTGGAGGGAGTTGTTTTGACCTTCATCGCTTTCCGCCTCTTCATCGTTGCGGGAACGCCTATCTGTCATGCTTCTCAGGGGAGCAGGGCGATCGCATTTGCTCGTTAGAACGAGGGGGGGGGGGGGGGGGGGGGGGCTGAGCGTTCGTGTCATTGCCAACGTGTGGTTGAGAAGGGCGAGTCGTATTTTCCATTAACTTAAAGGCCAGTGACCGATACAATCGCTATACAGGTATAGATTTGTACAAACTGGCTTACAGAATTCCTATCCGTACCTCGGGCAGGCGCCTGCGTGAAGCCTTTCCAAGGAGGGTACCTCTATAACGCATCTATTGAGCAACAACTTTACGTCCCAAACGCCTTCCTTGCCCGCCCGCCCACAAACGGACGACCGTTTCTGACGCTCGTATTCATTCATTTGCTGAGCAAATTATGAAGCAAAGGGATTGGTATGAAGCGGCGGTGATGCTGCATGCATATATGGGGTACAACATTATTGCAGCCGTACTCTTCGCGTAGCGGTATAACCTGGCAGGATGTACTCGCGGAACTGTCGCGAAATCGACCTTTAACAACGTCACTGAGAACGGAGGCTTCTTCTTCGCCGGATTTTGACCGTTTCACTCCGTTCTTTCGCCATTTCCTCCACTATATAGCGCCCTACTAGCATTTTAGGCTAAGTAGGAAACCATCGTGCCAACTGCCTTTAAAGTACGCCACCTGCAGAAATTGCCTCGTTCAACCGGAGGACGATATCAGCAGGGGCAGGGAACGTTCTGCACGCTGATGCAGTTTCGCAACCAGTCAACCTGTAGAAGGAGTCGGTAGTTTCGCCCGAGATTTCTTTCCGCATAGTTTTGATCTGGCCTGTTCCAGTCTCGCTGTCCACAGCTTCGATACTTATATTGGGATGGCCCTTTCAATACTCGACGGCATTTTTTTTTGGGGGGGGGCTTGTTTCGCAAGAACGCTCCTCAGCGACAGAAAGCGCCCTGATGATGAATAAGCGCTGATAGTTTCCCGCTTCGGATTTCTCTTCTGCACCTAGGAAGGAATGAAATTTTCACTGGAGAATCTTTTGAGAGGTGGTGGCAGGAGGTAACACGCATTTTACTGACATTTAGAACAGTAGTGGCTGGGTTGAATGCAATGTGAGACATACAGTGACTTGCAGAGGCCAGTTGGTGTACTCTGTTTTTATCCTCCCAGACGAATCTGGTACCGATACCCAAAATGGAGAGAGCTTGGTTGGCCTGAACAGGAGCTGATCAGCGCTTTGACTTCTGCATCGCGCGCGTGGTAGGCGTGACACTTGCCACAACATCTCCTGCACCATTCGCTTATCCTTGAAATACTGCAATCATTTCAGCATAGGATCGCAGAATCCTGATGTGCTTTCAACACCTGACTTCCACTATGTCTATTTTAATCCGGCTTCGCTGAGTCTCACGTCATCGTTCACGGAATCACCAAATACTCCGAAGCCAGCATTACCACCTCCTGAAGTGAGCAGGTACGTCAATCTTCGCACGTCACGTTATGAAACGTCACGTCTGCTGAGCAGTACCTGTGACGATGTTTTTCGAATGAAAGATTGGTTTTTGTTCAACGTGGTTCCGTTTCCTCATGAAATGTGGGAAAGCGGGGTACCCTTATTGTTGCGAAATTCGTATACCTCGCTCACGCGGGCGTTATGTGGCTGCTTA